TTAATGAACTGACAACCGTCTTTAGACACATCAGTTTGATCCTTGTGAACTACGACGTCCACCATGTGCACCACAGCACGGTGGGGCAGTGAATTGCGTTATGGTGATGTGAGACGTACCTGCACCCGCCGCACACTCGCCGCACTCATTTTCCTGTGTCCAGTGGCAAGCATATAATTCTGCCATTACGCTCATCTGACGTTTTTTAAACAGATTATTAAAATCGGAACTCGGATGTTTAGCAAACCACAGGCACACAGGAAGAAAGCAAACCTTTTAATTGCTGACTTGACCAACATCATCCTTGACACATTTCAAAAACACGGACTTTTGGACGGTATAGTTGATTATGCCCCTTTTTTAATAGTCGTGCACATGACGTCAGGTGTGGCCACATGAATGCATTATGACAGTGACAATCATGTAGGTTTACCCTCCTGGTTGTCTGACATTTTCTTCGACAGATTATTTAAATTGGAATAAGGATGTTTAGAAAATCACAGACACACAGAAATGAAGCCAACCTTTTGGATGCTAACTTGACCAAGATCATCCTTGGCACATTTCAAATACACAGGCGTTTTGTCAACATACTTGATTTGATTGATTTTTAATAGTCGTGCACAAAACGTCAGGTCTGGCCAAATGAATGCATTATACTCACAAGAAGGAATGAGACTGAAAAATGTTGTTGAAGTTTGCGACCTACTTAGTATAGTTCACTCAAATAAACAGTAGAGCAAATGCGAATGAAATGAAACATTGACAAATTATTCAAAGTGATGGTAAAGCGAGAGCGAGGATACTGAAAAAGCAGACGGCACTTCAATAATCTTGAATGTGACCTCAGCTCAATGCAAAGCTCAGACTGATTAATTACTGCTGTATTTATGTAACAGCAAAACGCGCGTGTATGGGCTTTTAGCAAGTACCATTGCTTCTAGTTTGGTATCTTCTAACGATTAAATAAACTAATCGCGGTTTGAATTTTGAGTTGCAAGACGGAAGTTTTTCAATCGGGTCTCTTCACTGAAAACGACTGTCCTTCACCAAAAAGTGGATTATAAAACGCCTTTCTGACAACGATCCTCCACTTATCTCCATCGGTACTCCTATCGTTCGATCAGAACAAACTTCAGCAAAAACGGTCTTTCTGTCGGAAATCTCGGCTTGTCTACAGGGCCTGCCCATCCAAAACACCGTCTCCAATTGCTCACCAAAGTTAGGAGCAACATCTACAAGAAGGCTGAGTCGATATTTCTACACTGCTTGCTGTGCTGCTTAAATTCGGTCCGTTTTTCATAAGTCCACTAAATAATGACGATTTGCGCAGCCACACAAAATATTGCGCTGCATGACGGAGTCGAACCACCGACCATCGGCATCTCAGTCGCGCATGCTAACCCCTCGGCCACCGCGGCACGACGGCGAGCGATGTCGCAAAGTTTACTTGATAGTAAATGTGTGCCGCATACCGATTGATTTTGTAGTGGATGCGAGATATTGGCCGGCAAAATCAACCGCCTTGAGGAAGAGATGGAAAAGATGAAAACTCTTCTACAATGTAAACTAGACACACTTGACGATGCGAATGTACCTGTTGGACGAATAACTAGAAGTAGGGCCAAAGGACGTCGCACAAAAAATACGCCATCAACACCTTCTGCAGATGTCACGGCACACCCAGCACAAACACATAAAATACAAGACGACAACAACCAGCGAAACAACGATAAAAAACCAGAGGAAAAAAAGAAATCGTGCAGCAAAAAGGTCGAAGAACATGAACAGCAGCTCCCGAGGAATGCCTCCGAAGAACCGGAACCAGGGACGCCGGCGTCCGTGTCGCCCATCACGGGAAATGACTTGGGTCCTAAAACCCTCAACCTATCGCAAAAAACTTCCGACTTTGATGAAAATGCAAACAACACAGAGACGAATGAGGATCTTAATCGACTGCAGCGTATATCCTCGTCAGATCATGACAACCACATATTGCCTATGTCGGAGCACGAAACCACTGTGTTCTCGAGAGTGTCGCCGGTCAGAGGACAATGTCTGATTATTCAGGGAATTCCCGAATCCACAGCTAGTGCCTCCAAAGAGCGGGTCTCGGCAGACCTGCAACTCTTCCAATGCCTACTCAACGAACTTCCGCGACCCAATGAGGAAGTTTCGGTTCTCAAGGCCTTTAGGCTTGGAAAGCGCTCAATCGACATATCAGAACACTCACGTCCCCGACCACTCAAGATTGTGTTAGCCAACCAAGAACAAGTAGGACTTATTCTCTCACGACGATTCCGAATCAAAGACACCAACCGCGGGGTTTTTTTCAGCCGGACTACACACCGGCAGAGAGAATAAAACGTCGACAATTAGTTCTGGAACTGAGAACAAGGTTGCAGAATGGCGAGACGGATCTTGTGATCTACAACAACCAGATAGTGAAGCGCCCTCCCCTAATCCGTTGGACCGAACCGATCCGAATGATTGCACAGTAGCTTCCTTAAATGGGATCACAAGCGGCACCATAATCAAACGCCCCAAAACTCTGAAACTAACCTTTTTTTACACCAACGTGCAGAGTATATTGCCCAAGTTAGACGAACTGAAGATCCACATCTGTGACCTTTCCCCTGACATTGTCTCTTTGACAGAAACCTGGCTGTCTGAAAACGTGGATGACCGCGAATTAATGCTACCAGGATTTCGGTTGTTTCGAAGAGACAGGAGAGAGCGTCAGGGAGGAGGAGTTGTCACGTACGTAAAACACGACCTGCTTGTGTCAGAAAAAACAGAACAGTTTGCATGCAGCGCCGAGACTATCTGGCTCACTATAAGGGTACCAGGATCACATAGCCTTGAAGTTCTGACCGTCTATCGACAACAGAGGAGTGACCCCGAGGCTGACGCTCGTCTGTTAGAGGAGCTAGGACGATTTGTTCTCCGGCCTGACGTCCTAATCATGGGCGACTTCAATGCAGTGCTCATTGATAGGAGTTCACTATACGCGCGCGGCCCAGAACTAGCTTTCGACCGACGCTTCTTGGACATGGCACTCAGGTCATTTCTCACACAGCACGTCCTATTTCCCACAAGGGCCCGTGAGGGGCAGCAGTCAAACTGCTTGGACCTGGTGCTCACGAAATCGATGGACAGCATAGATGAGGTACAATGTCTGCGTCCCTTAGGTCGAAGCGATCACGTTGTACTTCAATGGGACTATTCAATCTCTTCCGTGCCTGAAGAGCCCACCAAAATTAGAAGAAATATTTGGCGTGGGTACATCGATCAAATGAAGACCGAAATCAAAAATACGGACTGGGAATCAGCGTTTTCCGGATATATAGAGGAGGATTGGAAATGGTTCAGTGAATTATTGCATGTTCTCCTGACAAACCACTGTCCGCTTTCACGGAAGGGGCTAAAAAATCGACCCTGGTGGCTGACCCAGGCGTTATAAAAGGAAATAAATAAAAAACGGAGATTGTGGCAGAAATCTCTTACTGATGGGACTCCTGTATCCATAAACGCGTACAAAATACAGAGGAACTTAGTCAAGCGGCTGACCCTCAGGACACGGCAAAATTTTGAAAAAGACCTATTGAATCGTGCTATGGAAAATCCAAAATTATTCTACAGCTACATAAGAAGCAGCACACGAAACAGAGATGCAATCCCCCTCCTGAAAACAAGCGGAGACGTAGAGATTAGTGAGGATGGAGAAAAAGCTGAGCACTTTTCACAATTTTTCAAATCCATCTTTACTAGTGAAAGTCCATTAACTCCTCCCGACTACGACTTCGATGAGGGTCCAAAAATTGAGTCTGTATCTTTTGATGAAGCGACGGTTCGCAAAGAGCTAATGACGCTAAATGAGTCAAAATCACCAGGTCCAGACGACATACCGCCTAAGTTACTGAAGGAGCTCGCTGCCGAACTAGCCAAACCATTGTCCATGCTTTTCCAAGCCTCGTTCGAAGCCGGCTGCTTGCCCGCCGACTGAAATTCTGCGCGGATCACACCACTGCATAAAGGAGGCAGCAAGGCCTCTGCAAACAATTACAGGCCAATTAGCCTCACCTCCATCTGCTGGAGAAAATAATCAAGCGAGAGCTGATGCGCTTCCTAGAGCAGCATAATTTATTATCTGATGCGCAGCATGGGTTTCGTAGTGGCAGGTCTTGCGTGACTAACTTGCTCAACTGTTTGGAACGTTTTTCTCGGTCAGTTGATGAAGGCAATGCGCTGCATGTCGTCTATATCAACTTTAAAAAGGCATTTGATAGTGTCCCACATCAGCGACTCCTGCACAAACTGAGCCGAACAGGCGTTAGGGGTAACCTCTTAAAATGGATTCAAAGCTTCCTATTAGACTGTTGTCAAACTGTCCATGCCGGTGGCCAGAAGTCGACGGAGGTTGCCGTTGAAAGCGGTGTTCCCCAAGGCTCTGTTCTTGGTCCTACTTTGTTCATCATTAACGTCAACGATTGCGTTAGTGGACTGGATTGTGGTGTCGCCATGTTTGCGGATGACATTAAGCTCTGGAGCGTCATTCGAACTGCAGAGGACGAAGAGCATCTGCAGGCGAACCTAAACCGACTCCAACAGTGGTCAAAGGCCTGGCTTCTGCCGATCAACGAGAAAAAGTGCAATATTCTACGAGTCGGCAGAGCTCGCTCTCCGAACCATATGACCTACTGCCTAAACGGTATACCACTGCAAGAAGTGGACTCGCAGAAGGTTTTGGGAGTATGGATTACGACCTCGCTCAAACCCTCGCTGCACTGCACGAAGATAGCCAAGTCTGCGATGTCAGTCCTCTACCTTGTCAAGCGGGCTTTCTCTGCCTTTGATGAAGACTGCTTCCCTAAAGTCTTTCGAACTTTTGTGCGTCCGCAACTAGAATTTGCTATCCAAGCTTGGAGACCCTGGACCGCGAAGGACCTCAGCATCCTTGAAAGGGTTCAAAGGCGTGCAACGAAACTTGTGGCAGGACAGGGTTCACTACCATATGCAACGCGGTTAGCTAACCTTGATCTCTTTCCCTTGAGTTACAGGCAGTTACGGGGTGACCTGATACAAGCCTTCCGTATCATACGTGGTCAGGACTGTACCCTCGTACCGGAGGACTTCTTCGAATTAGCAACCACCACAAATCTACGAGGCCATCCATTCAAACTTTGTGACAGGGGCCAGACTGGACACACGAAAGTTCTTCTTCTCCAACAGAGTGCTAAAAGCCTGGAATGCCCTGCCTGTGGATGTCGTTATGTCTGCTTCCGTCGAGGTCTTTAAGAGGAAGCTGGATTTGTGTAGCAGTGTCCACTAAATTACCACCCCGATCTTTGTAACCTCGACAAATTCCGTTATTATAATACTACTTGCTATTTTTCAGTAAGATTTTAAATTGAATGTATTATTGTGCCAACTCATCGCCTACGCTTGCTGACATGCACATATGCAAATTTTGTCACCGGATATATTATTTATTTCGCTGCACTCGAAACGACAGCTCTACAGCTGCTCGTACCACTAACATTCGAGACAGTTTGTTTGTCTGTACAGACCTGACGCTTTTCCGATTATTTGTTTCTTTATGATACCTTTTCGAGTTTTTGAGATTTTGCAGTTGTTTGTAAACAAATAGGGAGTTCAAAGGTGAAGACCTACATTTCCCTCAATAAACTGAATTGAACTGAACTGAACTAATAGCTGTCGGTCAGCAGTCAATGAATATTACGCGGTTTTTCCGATGCGACTGAAAGCTTTCGACCGAACTATCCGTACATCGAATCCCAGTCTGTGCCTTACAACCCTGATATGAACTGATCTACTTCAAGTCACAACTTGATTTCTGTGCGGACAAAAAACCAACATACCCTCTCCGTATATTTATTTCAAAGATAAATTGGTACGAACAGAATACCTTGTAAATAATCACTTATCGGTTAACTGGAGATGCATGCGTAGGTTTCTTGAACATCACTTATCTTCCTTGCGCTTAACGACGCCTCAACCGAGAGGCTAGTTTTTATAAAACACATTATTTTTTAGAACGTAGCCCAAAATTAAATTTTGGGCATTCAAGTCGCCAGAAGCACTGGCTTGCAAACTTTTCCGGGGAGCTGCCCCGCTAATGCCCTTGCACCTTTAAGGGATACATTACCGCTAACTACATGATCATACACCCTGCTATTAAAAGTTTAATCCGGATCTAGGAATTGGGAGTGTCCTATGGACAATGTTAAGATTATGAATATTGTGAGATTTGATCGTTGGAAAAAAATCTGTATATGCCTTACGTTTTGGATTCATGCTTGGACCCATCATCAGAGGCAACGGTAGATAGGCATAGCTCCTACACTAGAGCTGCAGTATTTATTGGATGCAGTTGCCATACCACCGCCCACCTTTGCAAATTCACGGCACCCTTTCATTAGGGATTGTTGCAGTTTGTGTCATGACCATTCGATGGTCGCCGTTCGCGTTGTTAATCGTGACAATTTCGTCGCGGGTGTTGAATATTGGTTTAAGAATTGCTAGACCATCTGTATTAATGACCCTGCATGTGCCCTCCTCACATGAGGGACGTTACCGCACTTGTTAATCGACAGGGAACCAGTGAATCATAATTTAAAAAGCTCAAGACTCCGGCCCGTAATTAAATCAATTGCGTTTTAACCTCAGCTTTAACCGTTTCTGCTCTCCTGTGTCTGAGTAAAGAATGAAGTTATTGTCGGATTTTTAAAATAAATCAGAATACTGGCCTACCGACAGGACAACTGGCTCGTGGCTCAGTAATTGGGGAAGTCGGATTTCTAACCATATGCATTTTGTTGCCGCTGAGTAAGGTGATGGTGGGATAAGGTGTGAACCAGGAACTCATCAAAAGTTGGCTTCCTTGGCAAATCTATTTTCTCTAATTTTCTAGGTAACTTGTTATCGCATAATTTACGGTGACGCCGCCCGCTTGTTGGCATTGCCGCATCGAGACTTATTACGAAATTTAGTCATAATCGCCGTGATTCTTACTTCCAATATCCTAGTTATAGAAGATCACTGTGAGGGACGACATGCAGGCTAAAACTCATTGAACATATTATGGACGTTAGACCGAAATCTATCTTCAGCTGTTAAACGGTAAAATCTAAATGCCTGCTTTGGGGAGCGTATCATTCAGTCGTCTAAAATGACCCATTTAAAATGTGCGGTAAGAGAGGCGTTGGTGTTACTAGAAAACGCATCGTTGTGAGCACCGGATTTCGGAGTGCGTATCAGTCAGTTGTTGTTGGCGAAACTTGCAAACGCATCCTTATGGGCACCAGCCCATAGACGACAGCAAAGTACGATTAGACATGTGATACTACGAGGCTCAGCGGCTGCGCCAGCGAGGACCCAACCAGAAGGTATTCATGAGCCCTACCTTCGTTGATGCAATAGTTGGAGTTTAAGCACTAAATGTTGATGTGAAATACCTTTGCAATAAATCGCGGTAAATTGTGTCTATGCGGGTGAAAAAAACTGACGTATTTTTGAAAAAAAATGTTTGCAGTCAGAAGGCCATGGATATTCATATATGTCTGTGAGATATACAGTAGGTGGGCAAACTCGTGAATGTCAACTACAATTCCGACATGCCTTTTCATTTCGAAAAGATTAATTAAGTAGTGTTGTAAAACGAACCATCATGCAGCATTATTGTACAATGATCCAGTTACTCCACGATGTCGGCTTTCAAATGAATGTCTTTTTAGCTGCAAGTAGAAAACTTTACCCTGCAAAATTGACCATCTAAGTAATTTAAATTTTTCTCTGTAACTTTCGGTGCCCCTAGAAATTTAGAACTACCCTATAGAAAACATGCACAAGAATGTTCACTCCTTCTGCCCGTTAGGTAGACATTGACGTCTTCTTACGATATTCTGCTCGAAAAAAGGGTATACTTTAGTATTAAAATGTCTTTAATTGTGAGATTTTTTAATTCTCTGAATGGGCTGCTCATACAAAGCCATGTCGCTGCATTTTTCAGCGTGTCTTTTAAAGTTAGCAGTATGCCTTGAATCGACTGTTAAATGTTATGAACTAAATATGATTACCAATTAATACCGCAGAATAATGTACGGTCTTCCGTAGGCGACAAATATACGGCATGCAGCGTTTGAACCCTGAATGCAAGTTTAACGGAAATTCAGGTTCAAAATTGTTTGGGAGTTGGGAAAAGCTTTTTGAAAATCAAGATATAGCCTCTTTTCGATTACACGATTGAAAGAACACGTAAATTCTAACTGAGTAAGCAAAAGAATGAATATTTTTATTAGTGTTTTCTATGAAATATAATGGAATATTTAAGTGCATCGAAAATCAATAAAAATATACGCTACGTAATTAGTGATTTTTTGCAGAGTATGGCTTCTGCATGCAGCCGAAAGGTAGTTCATTCGAAAGCCGACAGCATGAGTTAACTGAATAATTATAGGAATCTGCTGCAGAATAACTCGTTTTGCAATCGTACTTCGGAATTTTGGTTGACAGTTCATGAGTTACCCCACCTGCATTACCTGTCGGTAACCATTTACGGTGAAATAAAATAATCACCATTGTTCCCGGCTTGTAGGTCCTAATTATGAGATTGTTAATACTATGGAATGGATGCCCATACGATGTTAAGTTCTTACATTTGTCAATGTGTCTTGTGAAGCGAACAGTATGGCTCAAATTCACCGCTAAATTTTATGATCCCATATGGTCTTTTTTCAAGACAGTAGAGAAATGTGTGATTTTTTGTACGCAGAAGATATAGGGCTTGTAGTTTGGGAAGGCTGAATGTAAATTTGAAGGCAGGTCCGGTTCAAAATCATTCGGAAATTGCAAAGACTTTTTGAAAACCAAATCATGCCTATTTTCGTACATCAAACTGGAAGACAAAAATTGCCCTACCAAACGAGTAAAAGGATGAATATTTGTATGAATACTTTCCATGCATTGTAATTATGCTTTGAAGGACTTCGAAAATCCACGAAAAACGTTCGTGCCACATAAGTAGTCATTTTATGCAGAGTGTAATTTTCCAATGCAGAATAAAAGTGTTTCATTTAAAAGTCGGCATCCTGAGGTAACTGAATTATTATAGAATAATGTTGCAGGATGATTCATTTTGCAACCATACTTTATTGATATTTTTGAAACGAAAACGCTTTTCAGACTGCTATGGTAATTTTCGCAAGTCGAAAACTCATTTCGTAATTTCGGTTAACATTTAATGAGTTAGTCCACCTAAAGTATGCCCTTTAACCGTTTAAGGTGAAGCTAAATGATCATCATCATTCCCTACTTGTATTACTGGCAATACATAAGTCGAATACGTGATCTGTCACGGCGTCAGACACTGGAAATTAGCCGAATGTATGGATAATCGAATATTTTAATGATATATCTATGTTTGATCTCGTAACCGCATGAATGGTTGGTAGTCTTTACATGTTACGCCTCCGTAGGTTGGATACACCATCCGTATTGATTGACACTGTTGCCAATTTATTTTGTATTTGTTTGCTCTACAGCAAGCCACAAAATAGGCCTATACAAATGTGAAAGAAAAGTAGAGCAACTACGCATTGCCGCAGCACACATGAATGGTCTTCTAAAGCAGTAAATCATTTGGTTGGTCAAGGATGCCTGAGTAAACTCGTATAAACCTGGAGACTACTGCAAATGTGAACAGACGGCAAAGGAGTGACTTTAGCAATTATGATCTACGCGAAGATCTTGTTTTGCATTTATTCACTTGGAGGCACCTTTGCATATCATTCACAGACAGGTGACAGATGTGTTCTAAAACCTGCATTGTATACTTATGTGCAAATTCTTGACTTATTTTTTGTTTTTACATCCTGCAGTTCAGGATAATTCGACAACGCCTCCTTAAATGCAACCATATATTTTATTGCGGTAACCTTCGTTCACTTCGTATAATATGTAACATACAGAAACTAAGGATTAACGTAAGCATGTATAGTTTAAAATAATTATATCTGTGCGAGTATTTATACTGCAATACCGCTCTAAAACCCCACAATATTGCCAAAAAACGTCAAATTTAAATCGAACATTGAAAATATTGGAGGGGCACGCTTCAGTTGGGAGTAACTTGTCACGAAACATTTTTACCATTAGTGCATATGCGAGCGTCTAAAATACATTTGTAAAACACTCTGTAATCATCCGTTTCATGCCAGTCGAAAAGCCCGTGTAAAGTAAAACTTATATTTTTTACTTTGGCCAACTTTTTCACGGAC